GCGGGGCTCGCCCTTTGCACCGCTGCGCCTCCAGCCCGCAGGGTCACGGAGCCTTTCCCAGGCAGCGTCTCCCTGCTTGGCTGCATCAGGTGGGAGCCAGCGCATTGCAGACCCCTGTGCGGGGCCCGCAGCCTTCATGTGCTCACTGGGGGCTGACCCAAAGCTGCCAGGCGCTCTTGTCCGACCCTGCCCTTCACCATGGCGGCTCTCGTCCACCCCTCCGCGCACCAGTCCCTTTTTCCTCCCCAGTTATACCAGTCGTTTCCCCCAGGACACCACAACAGTTGCTTTATTGAAGGCCACACTGATCACAGCACAGCAGAGACACTGTAAGAGATGCAATTAGCCTGGCACAACCCCCTTCAGAAAACCAACGTGGCTCTTTTATTCCATTTCCTTTGCATCATTCTTTCCCTTGGAAATGCAGTCCAAAGCCCTGCAGAGGGCATGGGCCAGGCAGGCCAGGGGGTGCCCAGATCCATTTGCACTCTCTGGTAACAGGCAGACTGAAAAGGTTTTTGTTTCCACCATACGCCTTCCCCAAACGGTTGCTGAAGAGCCTTGCTCTCGCCTGGCCATTTTGCTCTGCACAGAGCCTGGCGTAGCCCAGCACTGGCCACCATCCCATCCCTCCTCTAAGCCAGCAAGCGGTGAGACAAGCAGAGGCGGCCGGCCTGCTGCCCATCGTCCTGGCTTCAGGGCAGCCCCAGGAGCAAGAGCCCAAGAAAGTTCCAGCCCCAGAGTGAAAGAGCCAGAGGCAGTTGGCAAGAGAGGGAAGAATCAAGGTCTGCAGTTTGTCAGGCAAAAGGTTCAAAGCCATCCCTCTGCATACTGAGGTGGGATGGTGCGTGTTTGTGTCCCTGCAGCTTGCTGGAGTCTGTTGTGCTTCCTGTACAGGAGATGGCTCCTCTTACCCCCTTCTGTGTCGGCTGCCCCAGCCTGGCACTCTTTTCCAGTGGCAAAGGAAGGTGTATTAGATCTGACCAGATGCTTGGAGAGCGGAGCTGCTGCCTGTGGCTGATCTCTCTGTGTCTGTAGGATCCACCTGATGGCTGGGCGGGTTCCCCTGGGCGCAGACCGGGCAGCAGTGGCAGGCGAGATGGAAACCACCTTCACTGAGAATCTCAGATACGCTGCTGACCTCCTGGGCCAGGTAAGCAGGGAACGGGTCCTGCTCCATGGGTGCAGCTCTTTGGGTACTGAGGATGGAGAATTCCCCCACCAGCCTGGCACAGGGAAGGAGTGCTCCCTGCTGCAGAGGTGACAGGATGCTCTGCAGGGTGACATTACTGTCTTACAGGAAGACATGATTGGACTGGTGGAGCCTATCAACAACCGCATCACTGACCCTCGCTACTTTCTGAACACCCCGCACCAAGGTAAGGCAGACATCTCTCCCTAAAGTCTCCTTCAAGGGAGGAGAAGGATCCCCAAAGTCTGAAAGGCAGGAGACTGCTTCACCTGCAGGGAGATGCTGAGGGAGCACAGTTAATGAAGATGGGTCTCAGGGCTTCACCGTGAAGTTTGCAGCCCTGGTGGTGATGGTGTCTCATTTCTTGCACCCTTAGCTGCTGCCATCCTGGAAAAGGTGGGACGGCCCAACCTGAAGCTGCAGCTGGTGAGTCAGCACTGAAGATCTCTAGGGTCCACCTTCCACCAGGGAACCCTGCACAAGCCCACAGGGGTGTCCTAGGGGCTTGTTATCCCCCTCCTGGGGATGTGGGGAGGGACAGGAATCGTAGCACAGTCATCCTTGACTGCTCAACAGCTGTACCATCCATCTCCTCTCTCTCCCACAGGACCTCTTCCACTGCCAGATCATGGATGGGAATTTGTCACGCAACCTGGAGACATACTTCCCACTCATCGGTAATGCCCTGCACCCAAACCAGCTCCTCTGTGGCCATGGGGCAGGAATGGCTTTCAGATGGGGTCCTACTGCCCCATGCTCTGCTGTGGCTGGCTGGGGGTATGGGGCTGCTCCTGGGTCACCTTGTCCCATGTCGAGAGAAGGCTGCGGGCAGGGCTGCCTTGGACAGGGCTTCTCCCATTCCCTCCCTAGGTCATATCCAGATTGCACAAGTGCCGGGGCGGCACGAGCCTGACAGCCCTGGGGAGTTGAACTTCCCCTACATCTTTGAGCTCCTGGAGTCCCTCAGCTATGCTGGTTACGTAGGGTGCGAGTACGCTCCGAAAGGTGAGTGGGCCTGTGGGTGGTCGGAGCCCCACTGGCAGGTCCCAGCATGGACCAGTCGGCCAGGGACTGTGCAAAGGCAAGCACGTCCTGGGGGGTGGCAGGCCGTGGGGTCCCTACCTGGGGATGAGAGCCCTGCCAGAACAGCAGCTGCTCCAGCTTGCCGGAGGGGGGGAATGCCAACAGGAGACCATGTCTGTCACTGCAGGAGACACTCTGGAAGGTCTGGGCTGGCTGCGCTCATACTGGGAGAGCCGAGGCCTGCAGCATGGTGGGACCAGCAAGGCAGCAAAGTAAAACAAGGAAAACACTGGAATAAAAGTCAAAGTGATGGGTTAACAGAGCAGCATGTCTGTCTTCTCTATGACTTAGGGCAAAGTTAAGAGCATCTATGGCCTATTGCCCTTCCCCAGGCCCTGCTGGGCCAGCCCAAGCAGTTGGACCCTCATAGTCTACTCTAGCACCACCTGCAGCATGTCCTATTTGGGGATGACTTGGCCACCACATAGGTGACTTGAGGAACACAGGAACACCTTCACCTCCAGTCTGCAGGGCTGTCCAGGGACAGGTTTCAAGTCCCCCCTGCTGAGGGGAGCATTCACTCTTTAGGAAGGGTATGAGTTTTCCCAGTCCAGCTCCAGCTGGTACCTGGAGTTGTGGGAAGAGGGCTCTGGGCTCCAAGTCCTGAAGTTCTCAAGGGAGCTGCCAGTGCCCAGGGCGACAGGACTCAAGCAAGTATGAGACTCCAGTAGAACACCAGCCAGCCCTGCAGCCAGGGCTGCCTCTGCATCCCCTGGGGGAGGCTTTCCACATCCTAGCCTGTGGCATGTCAGTGGGGATCTGGTTCAGTTTATTTCACAGATAGATCAATGGCTTTAATGTACATCTCCATAAAACCTTCCCCTTGTCCAGTTCACCCTTCCTGTCCCATTTGGTACTCTCCTGATGAACACAAAGGGCCAGAAGTAGGCAGCCTCACTGCCCAGAGCCCTGAAGTCCAGGAGCCTTTCCGCCTAAAGCCAGAGCGCTGTGCAGTGCTGCCGCGTGCATAAGACGCGCTGTGTGTGCTCCTCTGTGCCTTCCCAGCAGGCAGAAGGCACCTGCAGATGCAAAAGCCACGTCCCTGAGAGCCACTGTGCTTCAGCCAAGCCACAGCAGCCAAGTTCCTGCCTTTGCAGTTCGGTTCAAGATCATTCAATATCAAACCCACCGAAAACAGTGCACCAAGGGGCATGCCAGCCAGCCAGCAAACAATGGAGGTGCACACCCCCAGGCTCCTCAGTTTGGTACCCAGGCGTCCTACTAGCAGCGCTGCCTGCAGTGCCGGAGCACAGGTTCCACCCCGAGGCCTGTTATTCTCCATCGTCACCTGTGGCACAGCCGCAGCGAGAGGTCCGGTACGTGTATCGCTCCAGGCCGTGGGTTCCAGTGCTACAGCAGGCCTGTCCAGAGGTTGAAGCAGGCAGTGTTGATAACTGACTCCAGGTGGTGGTATGTGGACACAAGCTGTGGCAGAGGGCTCTCGCTGTTCTGGGGCTGCACTGGGAACGGCTCCCGGAAAACCACGGTGAGGCTCTGCCGAGAAGCAGGAGCAGGTCAGGGGACAGGATTCAGACAAGCCCTGTGCAGTCCCTAACCCCAGGCGCATGGGCACTTGCTTGGCTGTGTCAGGCAGATAGTGGGAGAAATCCCAAAATGCTAACAGCACCAAGCTAGTGCCTCCTCCTGTGACAGAGCGTGTTTCAGCCTCCTCCCACTTTTCCTGGTGGAAATCAGGTGCAAGGACTTGCCCACTCACTCTGTCCCAGCCCCCATGCATCTGCAGTTATACCAACCCCAGCAGCAGCCTCAGGAGAGGAGGGGATCCTACTGCCTCCACAGTAATAGGGGCTTCCAGGGAAATCAGAGGGAAATTTCTTCCAAGGCAAAGAGTAGGAGTGCAACAAATGGGGAAGGGGAGGAGATTAAATGTAATAACTGCAATCCTGAAAATAAATGCTGGCTGTTCCATTCTTATTCGTGACTGTACTGACAAGGCTGGGCAAGGGCAGAAAAGGAGGTTACAGGAACTGAAGCAGAAGAAAAAATGTGAGCAGCTCAGTGCACCGAGATCAGCATCATGGAGGCAAGACATGGCGACTGGATGTTCTCCAGAGCTGAAACGCAGCACATCTAGTAGCCAAGGTCTCCTAACAAACTCATAAAACCATGAGAACAGCTGTGTAACTGCAAAACAGCAAATGCACCACCATCATTTAAGAGGGAAGAGAAAGTGGTTTGTGATCATAACTCCAGCAGCGTACAAGGCTTTACAGCAGACTTGGAGAGAAAGAACCAGGAGGAAAATGCAGCTCCTTGTTACCAAAGTGATGTGCTAACACTAGAGTTCTTTTTGATAAGGTAATATTTCTAGACAAGGGAATCATGGTATATCTTATCTGAGCTTCAGGAAGGACTTGATGTACTGCCACATGGGAAATTTAGGTAAGCTGAAAAGATAGGAATTAATGCAAGAACTGTAAGGTGAAGATGGTAGTGCTGAAAGGGGAAGTAGCAGGCTGGAGAGAGGTTACAAATGGAGTTCCCCCCAGGACAGGTTTTGGGACTCACATTGCCTAGTACTTTAATAAACCTGGCACAAAGATGAGGATCATGGTGATAAAATTTGAGGCACTAATACAAAAGAGGATTGGGATAATGCAAAAAGAAAAAAAAAAAGCCCTAGAGACTTTTGAGAGACCACAGGAATGGGATGAACATTAAGCGCAAAATATAAGGTGAGGAACATGAAGGATTTCTGTTCTAAGATGGGAGACATTGGGAGAGGTGATGGAGAGTCTGGGTGTAGCCTATCAATGACCACACGGTGACACTATGACCAGTAAGACACGGCTGTGAAAAGGCAAATACCACCCTAGGCTGTACCAAAAGCACTGTGCAGGGGCAGAAAAGCCTTAGTGCAATTGCAGAAGGCTCTGCTGAGACTTCTCAGGAATACTGGGTACAGTCCTGGACACCTGTATTTACAAAGGCTGACCTGAGCCCTGAAAGGCTCTTAATGACAATGAAGCCATTGGAGAAGGGAAGGCAGGCTTAAGAGCTCAGCTTGCTTAATGCAGCAGCATGGAGTTAGCAAAAATTCCACTTTCAGATGTGGAGGTGAATCTAGGGGACTGGGGAAGAGGTGGGCACCCACACAGTGAACAATGGTTTCAGCTCTGAGCTACCACTGGTGTGAAGAGGACAGAACTGGCCATGACAAAAGCTCCAGCACAAAATGGGAACGGCTCTTCACCATCAGGTGGCAAAAGGCACTGAGCAGCCTTCCAGCAGGCACCACCTCTTCTGTCTCCCCTACCTGCTTTTAATGGAGTGTTGATTTATTTACAAAGGGATCGGTTACGCTGCAGTCTCTGCTAAAGCCTCACTGTGGACCAAAGCATCTCGTAGATCCCCTGCTGCTCTCACATGCAGCTGCATTCCCTGTAACCCATCCTACACCGTGCCCGGGAACACAGCTGAAAGCAGAGTATCTTTGCCCTCGAGCCCGATGAAGGCCAAGGCCCATGCAGATTTGCTGGGACCCTCACAGTGCAGGTCCCCTTCCTTTCTGCCCAGGTAGGAGCAGTCCGCAGCACCGGTGACCCCTCCCAGCCAGACCCAGTGTGCTCTGGCTTTGGACTGAACACAGAAGGACCCTCTAGCCTGGATAGAGACACAGCCGAGAGTCTGATCCAAAAGGCACCCTGTGAAGGAAAAGGGGATCAACTGCTCACTGTTTTCCAATACAAGAATAAAGGGGGATCATATGAAAAGAGCAGAATGAGGTTCAAAACGAGCCAAGGAAGATAGCTCTTCACCTACATTGTAACTGCATCACAGAGCAGCAAGTCATGAGAAATTATGGATGCCACAAATTAAGCAAAGAAAATAAAGCTGCAAAGGGCTATTAAATAAATGCAAAGGCCACCTCTAGCTCAGGACAAGCCTGGGCCACAGTTTGTCAGATATTAGGACAGTAATTGGGAGAGGTGTTAACAAGCTTCTTGACTTGATTATCCCCAAGGGCACCTGCCCTTGGCAACAGCTGGATGAATCTAGACAGACTCCTGGCCTGAGCCAATATAGCTGCTCTTACATTCCCAAGTTCTTACCGTCTTTCCTGAATGGGAATCAAGAAACACAAGAACGAAGCAATCTGTGAACTTCTGGTTGAGCACAACCTGTCAAGAGAGCCACAGCACACATTGCAAAGGAGACAGCACAAACCCCAGGACAGGGATTCAAACAACATCCACCCAGGGATGTGCTGACCTGCAGGACAAGTGGCATGACAGAGCTATGAAGGTGCAAGTCTGCCTCACTCACAGGTGACACTGCCAAACCATGGGGATATACACGGCGTGAGGCTCTGGGTGTGAAGAGTGTCCTGCCTGCCTGGGAGCAGACAAACAGACACTGCTGTACCACAAGAGCGCACACCTCATGCTGCACCAGCAGCAGAGTGGAGAGCAACATCATGACAGCGCCCACATTGTTCTGATAGTCAGGCTCGCACTGCGAGAAGCCACAGCAGGCAGGGGCCCTGGACAGGGGAGAGAGGTGAAGGTGGGTGACAGGCTGGGACTTACCAGATACTGGGTGCCGGTTTCAGCATTGTGGAAGTGCCGACAGCTCTGGGGAAAGCGGCTCAGTAGCACTTTGATGAGGCTCTGGTACCAGGAGACTGTCATGGTGAGGAAGCATCCCTACAGGTATGGAGAAGGGTTGATTTCAGCCTCCCTTTAGCCATGGTACCAGCAGCCCTCAGACCCCAAATGAGATGTATTCATCACAGCCCACTGAGGAATGCTGACTCAGAGCAACCCACTCTCCATAGAAGGGTCCACGCAGCCTTCCCCTTCCCTTGCCAGCTAGGAGCTATACTCCTGCCTCTATCTTCCCACCAAACAGGAGGAGATGTGCCCTGCAGGCCCTTCAACCAGTGCCCACTCCCTCCCCGGAGGAGAACAGCAGCTGCTGTGCACCCTGCCCCTGCTGCTCACCAGCTGGGGGTCGACATCGGCAATGGATTTCCCATGCACGGCGTCGAGCAGCTCCTCCAGCTCCACCAGTGAGAGCTTGCCCAGCTTCAGTTTGTCAGAAGCCAGAGGCTCCAGAAGGAAGAGGCGCTTCCAGAGGTTGTCCCTGCGGCAGTGGCACTTGGCCAGCTGCACCATGCTGCTGAGCTGCTTCTGCGCCGAGGCCACCTCGGAGGCCAGCAAGGGGAAGAGAGGCGAGGT